AAGGAGACAGTCTCCGGTCTCTCCCTCCATCCCCTAGGAGCTTGGCTGCGGCGGCCGTCTGCTGGGGATCCTGCTGCTGCTGCGCTGCTGCTGCTGCTGCTGCTGCTTCCGTCTCCTGCTGCAGCATCACCACCTACAGTCTGGGCATCACCAGTACCCTGCTGCTGCGCAGCTTGGTCTCCTGCTGCTGCTGCTGCGTCTCCTTGCTGCTGCTGCTCTGCTGCAGCAACACGCAGCTGAGGACCCTTGGGGAAAAGAAGAGTCTTAAAGGACAAATCTGCTGTTGCTGCTGCTGCTCGTGCTGCTGCTGCTGATCCAGCGTTACCCCGCTGCTTCTGCTGCCCAGCTGCTGCCTTCCCTCCTGGTGCTGCTGCTTGCTTGCCGCTGCTGCTGCTTGCTGCTGCTGCTGCTGCTGCTGCTGCTGCAGGAGCAGAAGGGAACGATGCGCTACACACCTGCCACATCTTTCCTGCCTTCTGCTGTCCTTTTGCTGCTGCAGGGGCAGCAGCAGAAGCACTTCCTGCTGCTGCTGGAGCTGCTGCTGCTGCTGCTCCTGTTGCTGCTGTTGCTGTTGCAGGTCTTGTCTTGCCTTCATCCCCTGTCTTTGCTGCTTGAGCAGCAGACTGCGGCGTCTGCTGCTGCTGCTGCTGGGGCTCCTGCTGCTGCTGCTGCTGCGGTTGCTGCTGCTGCTGCTGCTGCTGCTGCTGCTGCTGCTGGGGTTGCTGACTGTGGGCATCTCCTGTATTGGCCTGAGCCCTCCTCCAGCTCTGTGGTCGACTTTGCTGCTGCTGCTGCTGCTGCTGCTCGTGGTCATGCATTCCCCCACGGTGGCGGCCTCTAAGAGACCCTGGCAGCGGCAGCATACCCCGCGGCAACTGCTGCTTCGGCAGCAAAGCTGCTGCTGCTGCTGCTGCTGCTCCTGCTCCTGTTGGTGCTGCCCCTGCTGCAGCATCCTCAGATGGGGAAGCACCAGCAGCAGCACCACCATGCTCGCCCTGCTGCTGCTGCTGTTGCTGCTGCTGACGAGCACCGCTACGCCACCGCAGCTCCTCTCGCGGCGTAGCAGCAGCTTTGCTGCTGCTAGCATCATTCTGCTGCTGCTGCTGTTGCTGGTCATAAATTGGCCGCTGTCTGCGTGTATGCGCATCTTCTTGTCCACGACCTTGCTGCTGCTGCTGCTGCGCGTCATCGTGCTGCTGCTGCTGCTGGCGACGGTCATCCATGTTACGACGACTGCGCCAGTTGGGCGTCCCATTGACTCCGTGCTGCTGCTGCTGCTGCTGCTGTGGGGGAGAGAGTTGTGCTGCTGCTGCATCCGTTTGCTGCAGGGAGGATCTCTGCATCTGTCTCCATGACTGTTCCTGCTGTTTACCTTGCTGCTGCTGTTGCTGCTGCTGATCTTGCTGCTGCGGCTGTTCCTTTGCTGCTGCTTCTGCTGCAGGTGCCTGTTGTGCACCAGTACCAGCAGCAGCAGCAGCAGCAGCAGCAGCACCAGCAGCAGCAAGACGAGCATCTAATTCTTGTAGTTTTTTTAGTGCTCGTTGCCTCATCTCCTTCTCTCTCTCTGCGTCACATCTAAGGCCTTCCTCTGTTTGCTGCCGCAGCAGCTCGCGCTGCTGCTGCTGCAGCACCTCCTGTGGCTGCTGCTGCTGCTGCTGCTGATGCTGTGCACCACGACGGCCATGCTGCTGCTGATGATGCTGCTGTTGCTGCTGCTGCTCTGCTGCTGCTGCTGCTGCTGCTGCAGCATTGAATGGTGCAGCAACAAGAGGAGGGAAATGAGCTGCAGATGAAGCTCCATTAGGAGCAGAAGCTAGCAGCCCGCTGCTGCTGCTGCTGCTGCTGCTGCTGCTGCTGGGTCTAGCAGCAGCAGCAGCAGCAGCCATAACCGATTGTAGTTCATGTAGCTGCTGCAGTCCGACTTTCTTAGTGCTGCCCGTTAGAGGTGCTGCAGGTGCATCTGCTGCTCCTGCTGCACCTCCTGCTGCACCTCCTGCAGCAGCAGCAGCAGCAGCAGCAGGCTTCTTAGGCCTCTTAGGCTTCTGCTTATCTCTTGGTACCTCCGTCCTCGCCCTCTCTGCTGCTACGCTTAGTACAGGGTATGCTTCCTCGGATAAGGAGGAGACCCTCGGGTGTATACCATCATATGCTGCTGCTGCTGCTGCCATGCTGCTGCTGCTGCTGCTGCTGCTGCCTGGACCTCCATAACCGTAAGAAGATGAGCCCAAATAGCCCCCCATACGATCATTAGATGAACCAGGACCACCTGCTGCTGCTGCTGCTGTTGCTGCTGCTGTTGCTGCTGCTGCTGCTGCTGCTGCTTCTGCTGCACCACTCTTCCATGCTGACCCCGATGGCTTCGCTGTACCCGCCAGTGTATTCACAGCTCGACCCCTTACACTCACGCTTATACCTGTAACCACAAACCCTAAACCCTAAACCCTAAACCCTAAACCCTAGGACCTAAACCCTCAATCGCCATATACACCCTGCTGCTGCTGCTGCTGCTACTACTACTGCTGCTGGCAATACCCAACATAGACTGCTCTCTCCCTCTACCAGCAAAAAACCTTAATAAACCCTAAACCCTACATAAACCCTAAACCCTAGGTAAACCCTAAACCCTAAACCCTTACATTTTCTATTATTTTTTGCGATGAGTGTTGACAAGGAGACAGTACCCCCAATGTTTAGGCCAGCAGCCAAAGACGGTTGAGCTGCAGATATACACCCCAAACCCTAAACCCTAAACCCTAAACCCTAAACCCTAAACCCTAAACCCTAGAATGGGGAAAAAGTATGGACTGCTGCTACAACCCCAAACCCTAAACCCTAGAAAGGCGGAGCAGTTAGAGCTGCTGCTACAGACCCTAAACCCTAAACCCTAAACCCTAGCTGTTGCTTACAGCTGGAAGCAGCTCCGGGGTCTGCTGCTGCAGCAGCAGAAGGTAACTTGAGTGCAGCAAAGGAGACAGGAGGAGACGGGGGAGATATAGCAGAGACAGGAGCTGCTGCTGTGCTCTTTGTTGCTGCTTCGGATGCTGCTGCTGCTGCTGCTGCTGGCGCTGCTGCTGTTGCTGCACCTGCAGCTGGAGCGGCTGCTGCTGCTGCTGGAGTTGCTGCTGCATTTCCAGCTGCTGTTGCTGTTGCTGTTGTTGTTGATGCTGCTGCTGGTGCTGCTGCTGCAGATGACTCAGCGGGCCTAGAAGCAGCAGAAGCAGCAGCAGGAGCAGCAGGAGCAGCAGGAGCGCCTGGTGGAGCAGCAAGGGATTTTTTCATAGCTTCCTGCTGCTGCTGTTGCTGCTGCTGCTGCAGCGGTGGCAGCTTCCAGGGGCTTGCATGCAGGGGTGTCACAGATCCTGCTGCTGCTGCTGCACCTCGCGGGTGCTGCTGGTGTCTTGCTGCAGCAGCAGACACGGGGGGGAACAAAACCCCGGCGCAGAAGGAAGACTGAGCAGCATCTGCTGCTGGAGGTACAGCCCACTTACGAGCCACGGGGGGAGCCTGCAGCAGCAACAGCAACAACAACAACAGCAGCAGCAGCAGCAGCAAATAGGTATAGGGGATAGGAGGGCATGAAAGGAAGAGACACACAAAGGAGACAATTTATGCTAAACAAAAGGAGACATATAGACGCATCAATGAAGTGTAGCAGCAGCAGCAGCAGCAGCAGCAGCTGCTGCTGCTGCTGCTGCTACGAGACACAAGCTACACAACATGAGCACCAGACAATAAGAGCAGCAGCAACAGCAGCAACACGAACAGCAGCAGCAAAAGCAGCACCGCGCATGCAGACTGCAGCAATCACATACATCCAAACCAACCAAGATAACAACAACAGCAGCAGGAGCACCAGCAACAGCAACAGCAGCAGCAGCAGCAGCAGCAGCAGCAGGCGTACCTTAGGAATAAGGTCCTTAGAGTCCGCTACCGTGACAGCAATCTTAACGGGGCGGTTAGCCACAGGAAGGCGCCGCCCCAATGTAGGGAATTGTGTCTCCATAGACAGCTGAATTGCTGCTGCAGCAGCAGCAGCAGCAGCAGGAGCAACAGCAGCAGCAATAGGAATAAAAATAACAGCAGCAGGAAGGGGAAGAAGAAAAAGGAGGAGAAGAAGAACTAAATATAAATATATTTATTATATAAAAATAATATCATGCAGCCAATAACTCCTCCTATAATTATATAAGGAGGAATAATTGCTGCTGCTGCTGCTGCTGCTGCTGCTGCTGCTGCTGCTGCTGCTGGGTATTGGTGGTGTTGTTAATATTACTGATAGGAGGGCGGACCACCCCATAGAAACCAAAACTGCTGCTGCTACTTGTGCTGCTGTTGCTGTTACTGCTGTTGGAGCCGTTGCTGCAGCTGCCGCTCCTGCTGCTGCTGCTGCTGCTGCTGCAGTTTGGGTCTGTCTCCTAGTAAGAGGGCAGTAGATCTGCTCCTCTTCTGTATGCGAGGGCAAAGATCCACAAGTGCTGCTGCTTTCTCGGTAGAGGTGGTGCTGCAGCAGCTGGTGTTGCTGCTGTTGCTGTTGCTGCTGCTGTTGCTGCTGTTCCTGCTGCAGCAGAGGAGCGTGTTGCTGCTGCAGTAGTTTGCTGCTGCTGCTTCTCACATCAAAAGGCTAAGAGTTAAATAAAAGAGTTTATTGCCTACGGAGGGGGCCACTGCGATGCAGGTCGGAAGGGGGGGACAACAGCTGCTGCTGCTGCTGCTGCTGCTGCTGCTGCTGCTGTTGCTGTTGCTGCGGCTGCTGCTTGTGCTGCTGCTGCTGTTACTGTTGCTGTTTCTTCTCTGCTGCTGCAGAAAGACAGACGGTTAAATTGCTGCTGTTGCTGCTGCAGCAGTCGCAACAACTGAATTACGACACAAGCCAGACTCGTGGAGCCGCCACGGGCGCTGCTGCTGCTGTTGCTGCTGCTGCCGCGGCTGCTGCTGCTGCTGCTGCTGCTGCGGCCACAGGGGACCCAATGAGGAGACAGTAGCAGAAGCCCCACTCTAAGTAATAGAGGCATAAAACATTTCCCGTAAGGTTAGGGAAGCTGCAGCAACTGCTGCTGTTGCTGCTGTTGCTGCAGTTGCTGCAGCTCCGAGGCTGCAGCAGCAGCAGCAGCCACACGCATGCCCCCGCTGCTGCACCCAGCTGCGCCCCGTCGCCCCCACAGCAGCAAGAGCAGCAGCAGCAGCAGCAACTCCTGCTGCTAACCTAAAGATTATAGCTTACAATCGAGAGTTGTTGCAGCAGCCATTTGAAGGTGCTCCTGCTGATTTTACACCCCTGCTGCTGCTGCTGTTGCTGCAGCAGCAGCGCGCCTACGCTGCTGCCGCAGCAGCAGCAGCAGCAGCACCACGAACGACAGCAGCAGCTCCTGCTGCTGCTGTCATATGTCTTAATGCAGATATAATTACTGATGCATGCAAGTGTCTCTTGTTATAAGGCACTTCTTCTACCCCTATACTACCTGTATTACTATAACAAGAGGCATAATAGTATAAATAAATTAAATAAAAGAAGGGAAGGAAAAAGAGACATTAATTAGTCCCTTTTTGCATTAATATAAATAGATCTTACTGCATTAATTAATAAAAGGAGACACAAAAGCAGCAGTAGCAACTAGCAGCAACTGTCTCCAGTGTCTCTACATACACCCCTGAAGGTAAGGTGTCTGTGCTAATCGGTGGGGCTGTCTTGCAACGTAAACTGCCACGAAGAGGACCGCTGCTGCATGCAGCAAGGTGTCTCCTCTCCTGCGGCAGCAGGAGGTTACCTCGTAACACGAGGAGACGGGGGAAGAAGGGACAACAATAGTGTCTCCTAGGGACTTTGTCCCCTTTGCTGATCACTATATTCATTCATTAGGACCCAAGACACTTACAGCCAACATCTAAACCCCCGGTAAACCCTAAACCCTAGAGGAGACCATGTACAATTCACTGACAAACATGGGATGCATGCATTGAGGCGCTGCAGCAGAAAGAAGTCTTTTCGGGTGTACGTACAACTCCGCCATTTACTGCACAAAGTCAGTGTGTACAACAACCATGCAGTCTCTCTTTGTGAGCATGCATCTGCTGGATGCCGTCATTTTCCGTTTATTTATTCAATTGGGCAACAAGTAATGTAGGGGAACTCCTTTTGCCCCTGGCAGCATTAGAGAGAGACAGACGCTCCCTTAGGGACAAATAGGAGACACTGCTCCATATGCAACAATTAACCACTCATAGATTGCCAGAGCCTCCTTAAATTATATATTGAATGCACCCTCCTTCGGCTAACACGAAAGTGCAAGACGTTAACTCAGTAGAGATGAGGTGTCTGTGCCACAACTCCAAGAGTCAACGTACGAAGACAAACGGCCTGTAGGGAGAACAACTGCCTCAACCTCAAGGCTAGCAACTGTAACGGCTGTTGCATTGGTGTTCAAGGAATATTGAAGGTCAACTAAATTTCGTCCCCGTTGCTGTTTGTTGGGGCAGATCAAGAGAGGCAGTGGCGCCTAGGACAAATGTTGTTTGCTCTGACGACGGACCAGCAGCGACAGAACAGCAGCAAGAAACTAAAATTACCCGATAGTAGATAACCTTAAGAAAACCTCATTTCCTTCCTACACTGACGCCTCCTGAGCACAGCGATACAGAGGCCCAGGCTTGTTCGACAACGAATCAGCCCCAGCTGCACAACTCCCAATGCAAGGCAACCATACATGGATGCATGCACGCAAAAACCACCTTTGTATTACGCATGTATTAACATGATAGGCAACGGCTAAAGGCTTAGTTGGCATTCAGTGGCCAGCCTGCGCACAAATAGAAGTACGTGCATCAACATCGGACGGACTTGCAACAACATTGCCAAATAATGTGGGAGACGATCCCTCTGCTCACTGCAGGTCTAGTTAATTGAGGTGACCCTACCTTCTTCTGGAGATGGCAGCTCCAGCGTGAGCCCCTTATACCTCATATTGCCTACAGTATCCACGGGACAGCAGCAAGGGGAGTCTCCCCAGCACAACTGACTGTAGCTAGCATTTGTCCTGCAATGAGTTCGCTAATTACCGATACTTAATACCTTGAAGACTCACGCTGTAATCTACTTTGCTATTATCTAGATAACATGGAGGCAAATTATTTCTCAGCCCCAGTTTCTTTTACTCTCCGCCATACCTTCTGGATGGCAGTGAACTACTTACAGCTGTAAATGCAACTCCAAGGTTGCCGGTATATATATTCATCCTTTCATGGGCACAGGGTACATTCAAGGGAGAAAGACCTATTGAGCTTATCCGAGCATGATAATGTCATCCGTTCTCGATGATGTCAGTAAGATTGGGCATCAAATCGTGTAGGATGGACACGAAAAAGGACGCGGTTTAGGGTATTCAGACTCGAAGTGTCTCCACTTATGCCATCTAATTAGCCTACCTGGCCTTAAACAACAAGATCGAGTGCCATTTGATGTTGCTAGGACTAGTATCATCCTTTTGTGGCCTCCCCTCCCGGGTTCCCTTGAGTTGACTACTGAGCATTTTGTCTTCGTTTTATCTCTTCAAGCATTTGACCAGCTGCTGCCTCTTTCTCTTAGCTCGATTGTTGCAACTGCTCATCCTGATCTGTTGTGCCATGAACTACATCGAGGGTGTTAGTGTGCAACATTGCGCATTGTGCTACTATACGCTTCCAATCAAAATTGCTATAGGCTATCCGACAGACACCCCTTATACCTATTAGTTTTACGATGTAGTAACTGGATGCAGGAGATGCACTGCTGGTTTCCCTCCCCTTACTGAAACTGTGCATAGCCGGATGTTTTATGCAGGGCGTGACACTCATGGGTAATGCTTTGCTTATTGTAGTGTAGTTCGTGTAGACTAATTACATTTATCAAAGCAAGTTGAATACTGTTTCCGTGCTGTGCTGAAGCATAGCATACCTTCGACTTGGCCTGAATGCATGCATAGCATGGTATATTTGTGAAGGCAACATGCAAACAAATTGATCACTTACGCCATCCCATCCTACTCTAAGAAATGTAGTTGCCAAGTTTCAGCTTCTTAAGTTTATCTAACCTCCAAGTCGAGCAACGCCTCTCATTGGGACGAAAACAGAACCCCTGGCACACCCAACAGAAACTGTCCTAATAGATACAAACATGAAGAATTCTCATTCACGTGATTGCCATTAATATATAACGGGAGTCTCGACGAGGGGGAGGGAAGAAGATTCTGGTTTCTGTATACCTACATATTAGCAGGTACTGATGTAATTTGCTGTTTTCTTCGTCTTTAATAGAAGTGGAGCCGGAAGGCTGGTGCCTTTACATACTTGTTTGCGATAGTGTTCGGAACACATTTTAAAAATGGAACTTTTCCTAGATGCGTCGGTATCGAGGCTTATCCTTAGGTCAGCAAGGGAGCAAGCTACAGCAGAAATAAGAAAACCTATGCATGACAATACTCCTACCACTGCTGCTTTTATTGTTGCATCTGCATCTGGTGTATGCCGGGGGGGTTGTTACAGAACTACACCGCATCTCTGCCCACCGTTAGAATATTATGCTCCTTCAGGATCGGCAATGAATTGTTGCCTTCCTACCATAAGGGGTGCAAACGGAGAGGGGAGGGATAAGGTATACCTGCCCTCACTAATTATCGGCTTAGAAACCTTCCTGGAGACCGGTAAAGGTAACGCGGTCGCCCTTCACTGAGTCACCCACGGCAGGCCTAGGATTGTGCCACGGCGCAGTGCTCCACAGTAGGAGTGCCGCGTCAAGGAGAATGTAGCTCTTTGCTCAACTGAGCCAGATTTTTAAGGGCATATTTCTGCATATTATTGAGTCATGTACTCCACCAGAGAAATGCAGTCGTAGAGACTGCAGCATCGAATCGGCCGACATCCACTTAGTGTGTAAGATAACAGCACAAGTTCCCAGTTTGCCGTTCAAAGGGCCAGGAACTGCTGAGCAATAATAGACACTTGAATAAGCAAAGAACTAACTCGAGGTGTATCTACATTTGCTGCTGTCGCAGCTATCAGCCCCTTCACTACGCTGTTCTTTGCATGGGTGCCAAGGCGGCTCCCTGGTCCATTGTCTTGAATAGTTTCCCTGGGGGAGCTGCCAACAGATTCACCCTTCCACATTTTTATAGTTTTTCTGGCTTCTAAGGTCTTAGGTGACGTTGTCTTGTTGGTTGCAGACGAAGAGAAGGTGCCTCTACAGTGACCACCCCCGCCTCTGTCTATATGTTGTCGTCTGTCTCGCCTTTTTGTTCTAGGTGGTCCTATTTGCCAAGCTTCAGCTCATTAAGGCTTTCTTATCTACCATAGATAGATGACCACGTATAGAGCACCTTCTCTCATTGAAAAGATGACAAACAAGAAGAAAATGTCTTTTTGTGCTACAAACATTTATGATGAATTCTCCCCTTTTTATCCTTATGCTAAGGACTGTCATATGCTTCAATAGAGTTAATGTCCTAAAGACAAGAGCAGCAAAAAACCTTCGCTGCAGCAGCTGATGCAAGACATATATGCATGCATGCAAGACCAACAAAGCCCCATTTTGCCACGTGCACAAGCACTGTAGCGACTTACTGTGTGCGTTTCCTCAGCTCGCTAGAGGTGGGTTGCATGCAAGGAGAATTAAGAGCCACAAGTTATAGCAGATCCTTTATATGATATTGTTGTCTCCATTTTAGTCCCCTTTGTCTCCAAGGGGCAAAGGAGATAGAGGGAGACAACTGTCTCCTTCTTCCCCAAGGGACAAAATACAGGGACACAACAACTCAGTCTTTGCCTCCTGGGGACAAAGGAGACAAAGGGAGACAACAACTTAGTCTCCTTTGTCCCCAAGGGACAAAGGAGAACAGTTGTCTCCCTTCGTACTGCTGCATGCTCAGGTGAATATGTTGGGGTGTATATACACCCTTATATAAATAATAATATGATTAGTAAGATGTTTGTCTTGCATCGCTAAAGGAAGAAAAAATATAATAAATACGCATTAATTATTGTATTAAATTAAATAATAAATAAAGTAAATAAGATAACAAATAAAATAAATAAAATAATATTTTATTTATTTATTTATTTCTTCATATAGTTAGCTATAGGGCCCCAGTATAGGTAACCCCCGTCTTTCGGCATAGGGAGGGTACAGGGAGGGAGAGGGGCAATAAAGTCCCTTTCTTTCCCTTTTTTTATACAAATTAAATTATTTTTTGTGTTTATTTTTATTATTTTATTTATTTTTATTCATTTAAATCAATTTAAATACAAAAAAACAAAGAAATGACGGAGGGCCCCCAGGGGGCCCCCAGCAACGCGTTATCGCGGATATGTTGAGGTGTATGTACACCTCAACTTCCTTGTGTTTGCTGCTGCTGCTGATTACTATCATATGTCCTCTTCCTTCCCCATTTGTTTCAGCTCTAGGGGTCCTCAGCAGCAGCAGCAGCAGCAGCAACCGCTTGCCTGGTTGCTGGTCTAGGTGTGTGTACAGCAGACGCTTAGGCGTTCCCTGTAGAGCAGCAACAGCAGCAACAGAGGCAGCAGCAGCAGCAGCAGCAGCACAGCGCGCTGCGTATATACACCAGAGGGCAGCTCCAATCTTCAGTCATCTCTTTATAGGGAAGGTATCCTTAACAGCAGCAGCAGCAAAACGCACACAAGCAGCAGGCGAGAAGAAGGCAGCAAGAGCAGCACGGAAGGTAACACCAGCAGAAGAAGCAGCAGCAACAGCAGCAGCAGCAGCTGCACCACCTCTACCACCTGCAGCAGAACCCCCACCTACAGCATCCCCGACAGCACAAACCTTACCAGCAGCAGCAGCTGCTGCTGCTGCTGCAGTAGCAGAAGCGGTTGCAGCAACACCAGCAGCAGAAACAGCTGCAGCACCAGCAGCAGCAGAAACAGCTGCAGCATCAGCAGCAGCAGAAACAACTGCAGCAGCAGCAGCAGCAGCAGAAACAGCTACAGCACCAGTAGCAGCAGAATCAGCTACATCAACAGCAACAAAAGCAGCAGCACCAACAGAAGCAGAAGCAGAAGCAGCAATAGAAACAGATGCAGCAGCAGAAGCAGCAGCAGCAGCAGCAGCAGGTATATCTGAATGGGGAGATATAGATTGTTTTCCTGAATTATCCTTCTCCTTCTCTGGTGATGTTGAGGGGCCCCAGCTGCTGCTAGCAACACAGTACCATATAGAGCAGCAGCAGCAGCAGCAGCAGCAGCTGCAGCAGCAGCTGCAGCAACCAAACAAAGGAAGGAACAAAAAAAAAGATCAAGAAAACGAAGCAAAAATCGTAAAAGGGAGACTGCAGACTGTACGCAAGAGACTGACACCGGAGGAGAAGCTGCAGCAGCAGCAACAGCAGCAACAGCAGCAGCAGCAGCAGCAGCAAATAGAAGCAAATCTAATGAGGGAGTTAGGTGTCTCCTCTCTTTCTTACGAGACAAGAGCAGACAGAAGGGAGCATCATAGGGAGTCCCGTCGTAACCGCAGCAAGCAGGACAGCAGCAGCAGCAGCAGCAGCAGTAGCAGCAGCAGTAGCAGCAGCAGCAAGAGCAGCAGCAGCAGCTTGTATGATTTGCTGGATATACTAGAACAAGACCCCACAAGACAGCAGCGGCAACGGGGTGTAGGTGCAGCAGCAGCAGCAGCAGCAGCAGAACGTTTGCTGCAGGCATTTGGCCCATTAGATTCTTCTATTCCTTTCTTAAGGGAAGACGATCAACAACAACCAGCAGCAGCAGCAGGAGGAGGAGGAGGAGGAGGAGGAGCAGCAGCAGCAGCAGCAGCAGGACAGCAGCAAGAAGATGGCGTCATCTGCTTTGATGATTTGTCTGAAGTTGAAGCAGAAATTGCTGCACTCACCGGAGAACCACTGCAGCAGCAGCAGCAGCAGCAGCAGCAACAGCAGCAGCAGCAGCAGGAGCAGCAGCAAGAGGTGGACTCCGGGGATATGGAGGTAATCGATTCCCTGATGCTTTAAAGATGCAAGGTATTTAAACAGCAGCAGCAACTGCAGCAGCAGCAGCAGCAGCAACTGCAGCAGCAGCAGCAGCAACTGCAGCAGCAGCAGCAGCAACGGCTGCTGCTACTGATGTTGCTGCCGTCGCTGCTGCACCGCAACGGGCAACAGAGAAGGAACTCTGTCGCACCAGCAGCTGCTGCAGATGCCGTAGCAGCGATAGTTGCTGCATCAAGTGCAGCAGCAGCAGCAGCAGCTCCTGCTGCTGCTGCTGCTGCTGTAGGTTTTTTTCAATTGCAGCTAATAGAGGCTGCAGTGTACATACACCTAAAGGTGCATGCATAACCACTAGGGTTTAGGGTTTAGGGTTTAGGGTTTTGAATAGGTGGTGTACCGTTAGCTTCATACTAATTGCTGCTACGTCAATTCTGCTGCTGCAGCAGCAGCCGCTAGACACATTCATTGGACAGTTGCTGCTGCAGTTTGCTGCTGCAGTTTGCTGCTGCAGTTTGCTGCTGCAGTTTGCTGCTGCAGTTACAGCTAGCAGCAGATAGCAGCAGAGAGAAACAGATAGCAGATAGCAGCAGCCGGTGTCTTAGGTGGTGTAGTGTAGTGTAATACTGTTGCTGCTGCTGCTACTGCTACTACTACTACTACTGCTGCTGCTGCTGCTGCTGCTGCTGACTATAGAAAGTTGCATACAGCAAGAAGAATTGGGGCTTTCTTTGTTGCATGCAGAAGAGACATCTTATGTTACCTCCTTTAGAGACACAAGCCTTTCTTTGGTGTATCTTAGCAGCAGCAACGGCAGCAGCAACAGTAGAAGCAGCAGCTGCGGCAGCAACAGCAGCAGCAGCAGCAGCAGCAGCTAGAGGGGTACCCTTACTAGCTAATCGTAACACTTAGCCCCTTTATGTCTTTTCTTTTTTATATAATTTATTTTTATTAATTAAAAATAAAAATAAATAAAAAGAAGACAAGAAGAGACTATCGAGGCGCTTCGTATCAAGCCCCAAAGATCTGCTGCTGCTGCTGCTGCTGCTGCAGCTGCAGCAGCAGCAGCTACTGCAGCAGCTAAGACTGTTGTTGCTATATAACTTATTTTTTGTGTCAATCTCTTGAATTTGCTGCTCCTTATTAACTTCTTTAACAACCGAAGCAGCTGCTGCCTCCCCTGCTGGTGCTGCTGCTGCTGCCGCTGCTGCTGTTTGCATGCACATGCCTGCTGGGTCAGCAGCAGCAGCAACAACGGTAGAAGCACCAACTGCAGCACAACAGCTGTATAAACGGAAGCAGAAGCAGCAGCAACGACAGCAGCGGCAACAGCAGCATTGGCGGGAGCAGCGTCAGTAGCAGTACCAACAGCAGCAGCAGCAGCAGCAGCAGCAGCAGTAGCAGCAGCTGCAGTAGCAGCAGCAAAAACAGCAGCAACAACGGCGTTAACTGGAGGATAAATATAATCAGCAAAACATACTGCAACAACGACGTTGCCAGCAACACCAGCAGCAGCGGCAGCAGCAGCAGCAGCAGCAGCAGCACGAGCAGCACGAGCAGCAGCTTCCTTTTTGACCTTCAACTAACAGAAAATGGTAGGATATGAACGTATCCCTGTATCAGCAGCAGCAGCAGCAGCAACAATAACAGCAGCAGCAGCAGCAAGAGCAGCTCTGTGTACGCTTTGAGGCAGGGCTACTCCAGCCGTGGTTGTTTGTGCCTTCAAGTACCGAGGGTTTATGGTTTAGGGTTTATTGTTTTTATGTAATTAGGGTTTAGGGTTTAGGGTTTAGGGTTTAGGGTTTAGGGTTTAGGGTTTAGGGTTTATGTGTATTGTATATGTTAGGCAACATTAGCGGAATCGTTCTTGAACGATTTACAGGAATTAGATGATGGAGAGGACGATCAGCAGCAAATAGGAGGAGCAGCAGGAGGATCAGGAGCAGCAGCAGCAGCAGCAGCAGCAAACCCTGAGGACGATGAGCACGAACCTATACCTGATGCTGTTGAGGAATATTTTAGGGATAAAAGCGGCATAAATGCTCCTTCTGTTGTATCTAGTCTTGCGCAGCAACCTAGATTTATTAGATTATTAGAGGTATTTATTTGCTGCTGCTGCTGCTGCTGTTGCTGCTGTTGCTGCTGGTGGTGGTGGTGGTGCTGGTGGTGGTTCTGTTGCTGTGTTGCTGCTGGTCCTGTTGCTGCTGCTGTTGCTGTGCTGCTGTCAATTCTTATCCCTTTGTTGTTCTCACCGTTGTTGCTGTTGCTGCTGTTGCTGTTGCTGCTGTTGCTGTTGCTGCTGCTGCTGCTGTTGCTGCTGCTGCTGCTGCAGCAAGCAAGGGAGCTAACTCCTCAGGCTGCTGTTGCTAGTGGCGAAGAATTGGCGTTGATTGAAGAATGCAATCAGCTCGTTATAGATATTGACACAGAGTACGTCTTCCTGCTGCTGCTGCTGCTGCTGTTGCTGCTGCTGCTGCTGCTGTTGTATCTGGTATTGTGTGTGGTGATGCTGCTGCTGTTGTCTTTGTGTGTTTGCTACTGGGTCTATGGTTTAGGGTTTAGGGTTTGGTGTCTATACCAGGGTTTGGTGTCTATACCAGCATATTGGCGATTTAGGGTTTAGGGTTTAGGGTTTAGGGTTTACGTATGTGTATATATATTCAGCATATTAGCTGTATACCGATTTATTCGTGATATATACAGCATTAAATTCCTTATGCTTCATTATTCACTATATATTATTCCCAAATTAGGGTTTAGGGTTTAGGGTTTAGGGTTTAGGGTTTAGGGTTTTATGTGTATATATTCAGCATATTAGCTGTATATCGATTTATTCGTGATATATACAGCATTAAATTCCTTATGCTTTATAATTCACTATATATGTTATATTATTCCCAAATTAGGGTTTAGGGTTTAGGGTTTAGGGTTTAGGGTTTAGGGTTTACGTATGTATTCAGCATATTAGCTGTATACCGATTTATTCGTGATATATACAGCATAAAATTTCCTGAATTGGAGTCAATAGTTCAGGCGCCTC